ATAATAATAATAATAGGAATTCTGTCTTGCATAACCGTCTGTCAAATGGTTTCTACTTCTTTTGCCGGGTCAAAATAATAATAATATATTTAATTTAATAATAATAAATTGCATTATAAAAACTTTTTGTCAATCTGTATAGCTACAGGGTGTTTTAGAACTCGCGCTCCAAAGAAAATTGTCAAGTAAGTTAAAATACCAAAAACATGAGAAAAATGTTTCTATAAAAATTTTGAAATTATGGGGATCTAAATTTTGCACATTAACCCTATGTATTTTTATTGGAAAAATAATTGTACATGTTTTTTTGTTAAAGGCTATTATAAAAAAAACCTTAAAAAACCTTACTATAGTAAAGAAAACAACTAGGTATATTTAAAACAAGTATATTATTTATTGTGACTTTTGCTGGCAAAGTTTTTGTACCTTTAGTGAATAACAATGAAAAAGCATATACAAGAACATCTAGAAAATTAAATAGACTTAAAAAATGTCAAATGTCAAAATTTTTTGAGTGAGAATTTTTTTAAACATATTTTTCATGCTTTGGTAATAATTGCATTTACTCGCAATTTATGTTGGTAGTTTTATTAGAATGTGTTGGTAGATAGTAAGCGTCGTCATTTAACCCTCTCAAAATCTCAAAGTGCTGAAAAGTCAAGTTTCAAGTAATGCTTTCTGTATCCTGCTGACCAATAAAATAAATTATAAATAAAAGCAATTGTTGAATAACAAAGTTAAACTGCTTAAATTTTAATAAAAAAATTGTTTAAACTTATTTTTTTTGTAGACTTTATGATCTTTTTGGTTTTCAAATCAAGTTGCAACGACTGCAAATAGGAGCAATGGCGCAAATTCGGTATTGCTATTGGCTGTTGCTATGTAAATACGACACACGCAACTATGCCTTGAAAGGGATAATTTTTGTTTAGTATTTTGTTCCTCATCGGAACAATTGTCTTGTCAGGTCTCAACGAATTTACATTGAAATCAAACTGCAAAGTTCAAAGTAGCATTTTATTTTTATGTTTTCAGTTTATTTTTTATAATTAACACCGGTACCAAAATAATCTGTATACAAGGTGATTTAAAACTCGCGCACCAGAGAAAAATGTCATGTAATGTAAGATACCAATGTTAAAAAAATTCTATACCTTCAAAAGTTTCGAAATTATGGGAGTTTAAATTTTGCACTTTGACTGCTGGAAAAATAATTTTTCATGTTTTCAAGACTATTAAAAGCGAAAACAAGGAAGCTGTATCCCAAATTGCAACTATGTTTAACGTTATTTTGTAGCTTTTACTGGCAAAATTTTTGTACCTTTACTAAATAATTATAAAAAAACAAATACAAGATCATCAGCAACACTAGATAGACATAAAAAATGCCAAATGTCAAAAATAATGGCAAATTTTTTTGACTGATAGAATAATTTTTTAAACATTTTTTCCATGTTCCTGGTATCTTATCTTACTTGGAATTTTTTTCTGGTGCGCTAGTGCTAAGACATTATAAGTGCTATAATTACAATTTTACAGGGTAAAGTTTTAATATTAAACCACGAAGTGAAACTGAGTGCTTTAATAAAACTGAACGCTGTAAAATCCTTAAAACACACATGTACCAAGGACAGTTCTTCGATTAATTCATATTTCGATTTGTCAACACTCAAGAAATATGACGGATCGATGCGTTTACTATTTTCACCAAAAGATAACCATGATTAGAATCCTGTAAAAAAAATTGTGATTATTTTTGAATACTGAATAGATAAAAATAAGTGCGGTGTCTTCATTAGGTATTAATGAACTTGATTTACCTTAAAGTATTTCTGGAAGCTTAAAATTTTTGTATTATTTTCGTGTGCGATAAATTTGACAGATGCCTTATTAAATGAGATAAAATTACAGTTGTCGAAGCAAAGAAAAACATATGATATATAAAAAGTTTATATAAATTATATCTAATTAATAATAATCAAAAAGATTTATTTAAGTTTTTTTGTTGTAAACTATTTGCCTAGTTGCTAATCAATACACTGACCAACGCATTTACAGAACTCTGTAAATATGCTTAGGTGGTGTTAGCGTCAATTTCTTCTCTTTTTTTATATAAAGAATAAAAAAAGTTTTACGTTGTAATAAACTTTATTGATCACAATATTAAAGTATTGACATTTCACATTGGTTTTTAATAATAAACGGTTCATATGAAGTGCTTGACTAGATTTTACAGAAATAAGTGAGTTTATATAAGAAATATTGTAAACTATATGCCTCAATATATATGGTTAGATAATAATTATAAATTGACGGAATGTGTTATATTTCCACCTATATCACAGATTCTAGAGTTAATACTTAGGTATATAAATATGCTATAATTCCTATAACTAACACCGACAGACAACAATGAATCACGACGATTAATTAATGTATTGTGATAAAATATGTACGCTTTTTAAATTGGTGTATAATGAGAATTCACTTTAGTGTTTAAGTTTTGTTTTTTTATTTTTTTGATCATTTTACTGCGGCAACATTCATATTCACTGTGTCGAACATAACTGAAAGCAAAAGATTTTTTTGATGTATGCTTCCTGAGTTAAACTACGTTTTATGCTATTTTCTTTACTTGGTGAATATGAGTGCTTATATTCTCGCACAAGATAATCTTGCTTAAAATCCAGAAGTAATTAGTCATTAAATTAGAGCACTTGACCAAGAGCAAACTTGAATTCTTCGTTATCAGTTTGATCGCTGTTAATAACCCGGGTCTTGGGGTAATGACGACGGATTAAAGTGATTCAGAGTAGCATATATACGTGCCAATTTGTTAAATGTGTGTGCGAAAAACCGCCGTCACTACTATACAATATTAACTAAAGCACTAGTATCTCTAAACGTTATCGGAAGATCATAACAAGATCAGTATGTTAAAAATACACCAAACTTAAAAAAAAAGAGAACAGGAATGTAAAGGCACACTAGACTACTTCAGAAAAGTAAAATTTTAATAATAATTTTAATTTTAACTCGAGGCAATTTTGGTATATTTTTAACAAGATTAACATCCATGGATCCATGGCCTACCATAGTTATCACTAGTGAGTAACTAACCAATCTTGATTTATTCTAACATTGGTATCATTCGATAATTTAACATTTGTCTGGATCCAATTAATTCAAGTATTTTTTTCTTTTTCTAAATAACGATTAACTGCGTGGTTTACGTTACAATACAATGTAATTGGTACTTTGGCCACCATATTGATTTGGCTTAACGTTATTTTAAATTCAATTTAAAAAAAAACATCAAGATGGTTATACACATTTGACTAGGCCACTATGACACTATAAAAAATTATTTGTCATGTAAAGCCCTAAAATACTAGTTGACACATTTAAATGTTGTTGACTTTGGACTTACAACCTGTAAACTATGTCAAAGTTTCGCATTTCCGTCATTTGTTTTCATATTACATTTAACAACAAAAATACTTACAATGGTGTTAGGCCTAAGATAAAACTCGAATTTGATGAACATTAAACTTGCAAAAATATTTATCTATTCGTCAGTGATAATAAACCGTTTGTAACAAATATATAATCTAAACCAGCGGCTAAAAAAATAAACCACACAAATTTTCTTTACCCTAAACCTTTGTTAAATCACAATAAACAGATTTTGGCATTTTCGCTATACAATATTATACATTAAACCAGTTTCCTATTCCTACAATACTAATCAAGAAAATTAAAAGAGAATATGACGGCATTTACTCAGCTGAGATCATAATCTTTTATGATGACCACAGTTATTGCTGAAATAAACTTAATTTTCAGGCTATAACTTTTCAATCCTTTGACTATAGAAATATATAAAATAAAAATATTTATTTACAATAACATCTACAACGGTAATTATTATCATCAACAAATACAATATTTCTGAACACAGCAAGGACGTATATGGAATAGAAGTTTGATGTTATCTCAAATTTTATAAGGACATATTTAACATAATTTTTTTACTTACCAAATTACATACATATCTAGAGACATCTAAACACACAAGGTGTTTATAAAATTACCGTAACTTAAAACATTTTGAGCCGAATTTATATCACAACCAATGTTACATTTACATTTTTTTTGATAAGTTTTTGTACATTTGTTGCAAACACCCTGTACATTGAGAAGTTTCTCTATTGTTTGAGTATTTATTTAACATCCAAACTATTCTATATGTACATTTAATCGTTTTTTACAACTTTAACACTTGCACCAATAAATGTGATCATCATACAGCGTAATTCAAATTAAGACATTTCATTAGCCAGAAAGGTCATCAATGCTTAACGAATCAGCTGTTAACTTCCATTAAAAATTATCATAATTCGGGACATTAGAATATTATCTTTTCCAAGGGTACAAATTTTTGCCCATTTTAATTGTGATTAAATGAGTTTCTGATGTAAAAAAAAATAAACGTTTGAGCAAAAATTGGCAGAAGTATAGAGTGCAAAGTAATTGAATACCTAGATGTTTTGTAAAAATCAACTATTTGGGATTTTTATTTCAAATAATTGTACGTGAGAGTATGTCGATTTATAAAAATGGAAGAAGGCATTGCATTTAGCAATTGGCCAAACCAATGTTCTGATACAAAGCTGCGATTCCTATAAGTAAGTGTTACGCCTTCGTCAATTAGTCATAGATAATTGGGACTACGAACACAACACAGTAATCCCATATTCTTATATAATGAATTTCTTCGACGTTTATTGGTCCACTGACTTGTAAGGTCCTCTGTTAAAGCAACTGATTTTTCTGAAAAAGGAAATATTAATCAATAAAGCAAACAAATTGTTGTATCTATAAATATAATAGCATTTGGAAAGATGTTTACATTAAAAGCGCCAAATGTTGTGTACACACAAACGGGCCAAAGGAAAAATCTCCATTTGTGTCCTGAAATACTGCAATAAAGCTGATAATAGCGTTTTTCTGTTTGAAGGTCATAAATTGGATAAAATGCCGTCAATAGAAAGATAAGTTTACTCAGACTATGCTTTCGTTCCACCGGAGTTTCCGGTAGTGGAAAAGGAATTTGAGCGGCATCTGTAGTGTACTTCCGAGACTAGCCGCGCTCGGCAATTCAGGCTATCACAACTGATTTATATCGCCGTTATTACAGTATCCAATAAAAAATAATCAATTCCAGAATAATTTTACCCAAATTGTTTTCTTGTTTAGGCATATACTCTTGCATTTCCTTCAGAAGCTTCGCGATTTCTTGAGAATCTTTTGAAATACTGCACAATTCTTCTTGATTGAAGTCTGGTGTTATTTGTTTACATAAAAGAATTTGACTTATGACGTTCCCCAAATTTGAAGGCCCGGCTCTATTTTCTGCAACGGAGAGTTGAAACGTGATTTTTGGTGGAATATTTATTATTTACCATAGTATCCGGACATATCCATGGGAATAATTTGAACTAGTCGGTGGCACTTGGTGAGTTCACGAAGGAATAATTGCGACATGAAGAAGAGGAGAACAAGATGTGGGTTATCGGCTGGAATTCCCTCCGCAACGGCGCTGCAAAAATGACAATGAGGCCAATTACCTGAATTAATAATAACATATCGCAAGATGAAATTCCAGAAAATCAGACAATTGCAAATGATTTCCCTGACTACTAAAAACACAAAGAGCTTCCCTCTCGAATTGTTTGTACAATAGTCAAAACAACGGCTCTACAAAACCTCATTAGCAAAGTATGTCAACAATGGTTTTCGCGGTAAGAATCGGATTTTGCAACTTTTGCTAACAACACAAAAACGTCTTTGTAACATTTTCATTTCGCTGCTGAAGTAACACATTTTGTTTAAAACATCACATTCCTAACTAAACTAAGACCAACAATCTCACCAAAAACTTGTACTTGGAAAGTTCAAACGTATTTATTACACATGTGAGTTTAAATTGGATAAAAGCCCCCAATCATTTACACATCGGATGTAATTTACAAAACTTGAAAGCCAGGCGACGTTCAAGTTATACTTAACTCATTCCCATTCTGTCAGCTTGTATTGGGGAAGAATAACGTGCTAATTTTCCCCGTGGAGAAACTCCAGACGCTACTTCGGATTCAGGTGAAACTCGACTTCTCTATTAAATTGCTTAATTAATTTTTTACAGGGGACAAACAAGTATTTTTGCAACTGCGAAATTAAACTCTAACAACTCTATTAAAAAGTTGAAGCGAAATCGAAAACGAGAAACATCTAATTACAGTTAAGAAAACATTTAAATAGAGACAAAAAACTTAAAAAAAAAGACAAATTAACCTTTTTGTTTATTTTAACACTTATTGCCTATCTTCGAGAGTTACACAAGAAATGAGAAACTTTGAAAATGTTGGAAAATCTGGCGTATTCGCTCGTAAAATGACAAGATTTGTAAAAATAATCATTCAATATATTGGATTGAAGCCTGAATATATTCTTATCTATTATTGATTTTGGTGAAAAGACTCGCAACAAAAGATTCACCAGATTTAAGTATGAATCTATCTTCGATTCGATATTTTGTATGCTGGTTCAAACACGGAGGTTCTATCATAGCTCAACGTTACAATTCATGACAAATATATCCTTGGCTACACTGGGAAACTTCCCCCAAAATTCTCATTGTTAGTTATTGTTGATTTTGTATCAAGCCCGACCGAGACTCTTATATTTACATATTCATTTTCAAGTTAAGTGTTTAAATTCGAAAAGAAGAGAATGCTATATGGAAAACTAATTGGAAAAATTCAATTAAATACAGAAAGAGAGCTACCGGTATTAATTCTTGTTTCATTGCGGTTCATCAATTCTACAAAGCTAAAGCAATAGGTATTTAATTAACTTGCATGAATATGCTTTGTCCTAGCAGACAATGAAATGTGATATTGCATAAATGAGTTCGGTCATTATATTTAGTTGTAAATTTATTTGTGATCACGTGGAACACTCGAAATTGGTCATATTTACGACTCCAAACGAAATCCACGCGACACTTATCATTTATTTACTAATTAATTTGCAAGAGTTAATTAGGCAGTATAAATTCAAGCTCCACAGAATAAACATGCCCCAACTACTAAGCAAGAATTGAAAGCCCTTTCCTAAATTACTAGTTGTAAAAGCAAACCGAAATTAGCTAGAAATATTATTATCATAAAAAAATCAAAGGACGTTGATTAAAACAGGACTGATATATTCGAACCCGCTGTAATTACAAGGCTGTCTTTATTACCCCACATTTTACTCCATATTCAGTTTAGTTATGGTGATATTTTTCATTTGCTTCTAATTCTTATCAAAAATCAACAACCTGGGAAAATTATATTTGCTCGGATTTAAATTTTTAAATTTGTTGTTGTTTACAATTGCATGAAACGCTGTTACGGGTCGCGTGTCACCCTTGTTGGAGCTAAAAAATAAAGATCTTTGCTTTGTTAGAAACGAATTTAGGCGATAAGTAGGTCCGTTGCATGTTAAACTTCAATCATTTTTAATCAGCACTAACTTTATCTTTATTTTTAAATAAAGTGTGTGTTCCTTCTTCTGAATCGTAATATTTCCGTATTTGAACCCAGATTATACTCGTAATTTATTTTAGCTTGTTTGCCTCAAAATTCGCACTTGGCTTGTTAATTTGGATGTGAAATTATCATACCTTTTGAAAATGTGTGTTTTCGCAACAAGCTTAATTATCCACCAAAATTAAATTGACTAAGTGGGTAAACTTTATTCGTATTCTTTGTTTGTTTTGTTTGTAATTAGCGGTACGACACGAGTTAGAAGAAGAAAAACAAAAATAATTATCTTGAAAGGCTGTGAAATAAGTATTGGACGGTTTGATTGATAGTTCAGATCTAGTTTGTAATGAAAAGAACTAAAAATCCAAGCTGAAGACGAAGAAAATAACCAGACACTCATTTCAGTTATATTTTCGCAACTCCAATTACCAACAGTCGTGTTTTAAAGTTTTTGTCAAACTTCAAATTCGTTTAATCCTTCCGTTTCAAATATATAGCAATTTCTTTTCTGGTTTTATCGTTCTTCAAGTTTCAAATAAAGTTTTCGAGAGGCGTACTTATGACTTTATCGGGGCTCTAACTTCCTTATTTACATATTACAATCTGCTTTTCTTCTTTTTTGAAATGTATTTTATAAAGATTTTCCTCAAATTGGACCGTTGTCAATTAACTGTATTGAACGATTGGACAAAGGACTGTTTTTGACAAATCATAAACAACAACGATAAAGTAACCCTTATGCAAATTAGCAATGGTATGGCTATAAAGTCAAGCTATTGCCACATTACCAGTACAAAGCCTGTCTGGGTTTGTCAGACTGTAAATCAAACATGGCCGAAATTCACTGTCTTGACGTAATCATAACTTCCACATTCAGAACACAATTATTTTACTGACAAACAAAAATTCGTAATCGCATGATTGCCTCTTAAACTTTTTAAACACACCGATCTTATCTATTCAAATTGCTCAAAGATGACTGACTGGCTCATTTCAATACTCTAAATTAAATTCATAATGTTTCTACAAAAGAAATCGATAGTTTACAACATGCTTAAGAAACTTCACTGACCTCAATAGTACGTACGAGTATATTACATTTGTAAGTAAAGCTCAACTTATTTAAAATAAAAGCTTCTGGCCCTAGACCAATTTCACCGAATTCTTTTTAGCAAATTACAGAAAGCCACTAAAAGTGGAGAACGTAATGCCTGTTCTAGCGTTATTTATTGCCACTAGCTTATTCAAAATACTCAGGACGTGAAATATTTCTTAAAGACAAATTTTCGTGCTAATGAATCAATTTGGCTTTAATTTTAACAACAATACGACAAATGTGTCAAGCTTTATCAAGGCTAGTTTACCATTCACTATATAGAAAGCTTTCTTGACAGCACACAAATCCCTAGCCATCAAAATCAAAACGCATAAATACATTGTTTTTTTAGCAAAAAAAACAACAGTTTGTTAATATTAAGTATATTACAACTTGGGTAGAAATTGTTATTTATGTATTTATTCAAGACTGTTAAGAAGGCCATAACAATCGAGAGACTCGCGCTCGTTATGGCCCTTAATAGCACGTGGTACGTACAACGTTTTTCGTCGTATTAGATTACCATACGATCATTTAAAAAATAATAATTTTTCAATTCTAAAAATGTCAATGTTTGAGTTTAAACTGTCAAAGCTGTCAAAAAACGGGCGTCAAAGCGAAAGTCGGGCTGTTAAAACCTCTTAACAGTCCTGTGTAATACTATTGTAACATTGATAATTGGTTACGGATTGTTGAATATTATTTATATAATAACAACATGAAACGACGAATACTTTTTATCTGCAAACGCTTTCATGATTAAATAACAATTAAAACTTAAATCTATTAAACATGGGGTAAAAACACTGTTTTTTTCGTCTAAGCCTTTTTCACTTTTACCTGACAGTTACCAATGTTGTCTCTTTCTTGACTCTCTTTTTGTCTCTTTCGCTACTTCAGAAAGAAACAATATAAATTATCAGCATTTGACATTTTGCACTATAACTACACTAGTTTTTCACTAGTTAAATTATTCAACATTTTCAAAAATCTTAATTCCGAAACTGACACGTGACTTGATAATTATTGTGTTGCTCCATTTGAATCGTTTGCAGATAAAATAGTATATGTTATTTGGAGTAGAAGTGAGTTTGTGTGGCTCAGCTGATTCATAATTAAAAATGTTGAGCTTCATCACATGCACTATCACCTTTACTCCTAATAACATAATATATTATTACATCATTCAATTTGATTTTTTTTTCAAAATATTTTTCAGCAACTGAAGCTTTATTATCTTAGCAAATGAATATTTAATTACACTTTTTATATCAGAAGTCTTTAAAAACACACTGTTTGTAATTTAGAACAGTATAAATATTTTGAAATAAAAGACGACTCTAAAGGTGACGACTTACAACCTGACTTAAAAATGGGCCCATATCTCGGCTACTAGCAGTAGTTCATAAAACTGTAATTAACAATGAAGTAATTATTAAAATGCGTACTAATAACTTCATACTTTCTAAGTAATATACATATGCGGCAGAACTCGCGGCCCAGAGAAAAATGACATGTAAGGTACGATACCAGAAACATGAAAAAAATGTTTAAAAAAATCTATCCATAAAAGTTTCGAAGTGATGAGAGTTTAAATTTTGCACTTTGACTCTATTTTTGTTGGAAAAATAAATTTTTCAAGTTTTTTGCTACAGACTATTAGAAGAGGAAACAAGGAAGATGTGTTCTAAATTGTAACTCTGTTTAATGTTACTTGTGGCTTTCATTGGCAAATTTTTTTTACCTTTACTAAATAATTATTAAGAAAACATATACAAGATCATTAATATCATTAAATAGACATAAAAAATTTCAAATGTCAAAAAATTAATGTCAAAATTTTTTGACAGAGAATTTTTTAAACATTTTTTTGTTTCTAGAATCTTTATTACTTGAAATTTTTCTCTAGGGCGCGAGTTCTGACACCCTGAATAAATATTTAAACTTTGAATTTTTCCTAGCGCGTCTACAGAAATTTTAATCATTGTAAAGTTCCAAAAAAAATTGTTTTTATAATGTGATATTTGTACGAATAAATTTACATTTTTATAATTGAAGTGTGTTTATATGGTATATAAAATAGGGTTTAATTTTTGCCCGGCGCATCCACCAATTTTCCGTTTTTTATTTGATAAAAATATTTTTTGTTGAAGCTTATTTTATGTGTAACAGGAGGCAGCTTTTACTTTTAAATTTAAACTTTTTCAGTCAATTTTGTTAAATAAGTTTACGCCACTTTGTGTGTAGATTTGCTGGATTTAAAGGAAGCTCTTTGTGTGGTTTAATTAAGTACGATGTTGGTAGAATAAAAAAGACTATAACAAATATCACGGGCGCACATTAAATATTTGTGGATTTGTAACAACGGGCAGTGTTTGTTTCAAGAAGGTTTTCACTGTAAATGTGTGGCATTTGAAAAATCTAATTTTACACCGCTAAATGTTATTAAAGTTTCTGGTTTTGAGCTAGTGACGTACTCAATATGTCGTTTATATATTCATCCTAAACCCGGCGTATTTCTTTATAGATCAATCGCCGTCAAGAAGACGGCAGAGAGCTCGCATTTCAGCTGATTTTATTTGATTCGGAACGCTTCGTCCGACTTATTTCGTATCAACATTATATGAGAAGTAGATATTTCAGCAAACTTTTGTTAATTTAATTTAGTTTCCTTGTTACATGTCTTTAAAATTTTCAATTATGAAAATTATTTATTGACAAAGTTTGAGCACATCACAAGCCAGACTTAAGTCTTAAGTTCAAAGTTTTTCATCCGTATTTCATATGAAATTAAAACGATAATTCGAAATTAAAACTCTTACCTGCGTAGTTGAGGCAGAATTAATTGGCTGGTATGCTTGCAGGCTTCAACGCAACTTCGCCGTAATTTTCTGATCTTCTCTCGTAATTCAGGACAATCCCTTGTCTGTCCAATGTGAATTAGTAGATCTCTGAATAAAGCCACTTGTCCATTTATATCAATGATCAGCTGGAACAATACCAATTATTATTGCCAAATGTACCAACTTTTTACTACTAGTTTCGGAAGAACAAAAGAGCTCTAAATGCATTAATCACTTTTGCCAAGAGGCAAACGTTTGTCCCGTTCTCCATCACTGCATATTTTATAAAGCTCGAAAACCCTCATTGTTATTTTGTAATTGCCACTTCAGGTAAATCTCAAACCCCACTCAAATCTCAACACAAAACAAATACCTGTCCTTTTATCATGTCTAATTCTATTTCTCCACATAATTTGACCAAATTTAGCTTAGACTTAATTTTAGAACTTCTTGAATTTGCTCAAAAGCTTCCACTAACACGTCCAAACGACGTTAATACAGATTTCAGTTGCGTGTACTTACCATTGTGTTGATTGTTATCACTAATCAAGTCTTCGCAAAATATTTTGTCTGTATGTCCGAAAAAAGTAAACAAAATTGTATAATAATTTGCTTTATTATTTAGGCTGTTGTTAGACTATAACTAACATATAAAATTTAATCCTTTCAAAAACAAAACTCGACAACAAGTTAGCAATAATATCGACTAATTTTTTATATAAATGTCTTATGCCATGCAAAATGAAACGCGTGGCAGATAATTGTGTATTTCAATTTAACTCTATTATTGTGTATTGTAGTCTACTCTATACAAAAAAGCTTATTTATTGTTTGGAAAAGAAATTTAATTCTGTATTGCTCCACTGATCGGTAGAGCAAATCGGCCTTTTTTTCTTGTTATATGAGAAGTAATCTGTGCAATTCTTGACAATGATAAACGACGTAGTAGCTTGTTTTGTGTAAACATGAAAAAGTCAAAAATTACTAATAAACAAAAGGTATCAAATTAACTTTACACATTTAACTACATAGTTGTATCAGAGGGTCAAAGTGCGCTACACATCATAAAATAGTTTAAAGCAGCAACATGTCTGTCACCTATAAAGATTCTCATTTTATTGCTTCGTGCAATAAACAAGTATAATATTTGTGTATGTCGGACAATATTAGCTAATATTAGAAAAATTCATAATAGAACCTCTGATCTTTGACGTAATATAACATTAAGTTTAGTTTATATCTTTATTTAAACTCTAAATCTACAATATTGTTTCCGTACAGTGGCGACTTCCCAAAACACACAAATTGTAATTTTTCTTTTTTTTTTGATGAGCGATATCATTGCTCTAAAGAAATAAAAATAATTTTAATGATTTTGATTTCTGATACACATTTGTTGATCTTGACTATTATAGAGATTTAATAATTTTATAGTAGCTAAAATTAGCTGCTTCTATATAGGAGAAACAAGAAACAAACCTGTTAACCTGTCCCACATTTGTGAAACGCGAGTAAATTTAACTTTAATTTAACACCAAAGTGGATTAAAAGTATGTCCGACTCTCAGGTTTCTCATTAATCGATTTTCTTTAGACTTTGAGACAGTTTTAAGAAAATTTGCTACCAATAATGCTTTCAATCAAACGAGAATAATTTTGATTTGGTTTGATTAATTTTAATTGTGTTATGTTATTTGGTACTAATTTACCTGTTTCTTGTTTGGTAATGAAATTTGAAATAATTCGATGTATTGGTTGGCGTTGGTCTCAATACAGTAGTCGAGCTTTGACACAATTTTAAACTCAATGAAATCAAGCTCGTCGGTTGTTTCAAATTAGCTATTTTATAACTTTCAACAAAAAAACGGCCAATTTTATCCAACTTAGCGAAAGCTTTTTAGGGTAGTATATCTTTAATGCCAGTTGTAACTTACTGAACTCATTTCATTAATAGCTAATTACTGTTAAATAATACAAATAGGAGAAACAACCCTGATCAATTTTGTGGCACCTTGCTATCATTTATACAGAATTGAATTTTAAGTTTTAGGGCCGGTTTACTTTTGCGTTTGAAAATGTGAAGTAAGTGACAACTCAATTCGAATTAGTTGAATTATAAATTAAAATTTGATTTACTTTCTGTAAATCGGCTCTCAATCAATTCAGCAAGACAAAAAAATTGCCACTAAAAAATTTACACTAACTCGCAATCTCATGCTAAAATACAATTTTTTTGCAAAAAAGCAAACACTAAAGCTACTCTACTAGATTTTTAAAAATCGAGACAGTTTAGGAAAACCGTCAATTTGATATTGAAATATGTGTTTTTGATAAAAAAGTGGTTTTAACCTCGAATTGTCGTCGTGTAGAATGTACTAAACCTATTTAGTTCCTCGTCAATGATTTTCAGGTACTTTTCCTTCCAGCCAGTTATAACAATATAAAAAGTGTGTCATTTGTGTAAAGTTTCTCCAAAATATTTAGTTGTGTGGTGGTGCGTGCAAATGTAAAGGGTGTGATTTGTTGTAAAATGTAGCAAGGAGCAAGGAGATATGCAAATCATGCAAAAAACGATACGTTGAGTAAAACACACCACATTGAGATTGTTGTCAAAATCGTGATGATGAGACATTCCGGTTGATTCCGATCAAGTAATGTCACACTCAATAAACGGCATGATAAAGTCAGTGACGGCGTAACCGAAGCCCGAACTCTCCGCCCGCGTTACGTTTCATACACCTTGTCAGACTGAGCTCTGTGTAGTAAGTTATGTATAACAGTCATTTTGTCGCGCACTCGAAAACTTGAACCGAGTTCAACCGTGGAACCTAGAACGCCATTGCATACGAACATCAAGAGTACGCTATAACTGCAAATTTACCACTCTTCCGGACACTGTCAACTAAAAAATACATCTTACTTTTTGACCGGAACGCAGCCTTACATGCCACTTTTTGTCTCATTAGAGCATCTCTTGTCCCACTTTTTTGATTTTAACTGCTATTATTCTTCTTCTATCACACAAAAACACAAACTTTAACAAACGCGTTTAATAGGGGTTAAAAAATACTTCTTCAACCAAGCAATCTACCTTCTGTTTTCTATAAAACCTATAGGACCAAGGATGATTTCAACCTAGTACAAAATTTTTACAAATCACTCTTTAATGTCCAGTTCAAAGATCTCAAAGTACCAACAAATTTAAACTGTCACAAATTATACTAGTTTACAAATAATAACTTCTTTAATATACATTTAATCAAATTATTATTTTTATGCTTTTCAAACAAAAATAACAGTTATTTTTTTATCACGTCACAGTTTTTTGTTACAAACAATGATTTTCTTGATTTCTACAAAAATACCTCCGCTTTAAAATTTATTTAAAATTTAAATTGTTGCTAAATTATTCAAAATTATTACCAGATGGGTCTTAAAATATATTTCATTGACTTTCTTCTTTAAAAACTTACGCAGTATGACGAACAGTTCATATGCAACGGTGTATAAACTACCACATTTGTAAACTAAGGACGTAATTTAAATAATACTATTATTAATATTAATAAAATAATACTACTATTAACAAAAGTCATCCAGTATTTCAAATAATTTTAATTTAAAAGACATCAGTTTCAGGATATTTTTGTAAAAGCAAGAACAGAATTATAGTTACTTATGCAACAAAGGTAAAATTCATAATTATGCTCGTAATTCATAAATTTTTAAGTTCTTGGTCAAAATTATTGCAGTATACGAGAAATGCTATGCAATCTGGCATGCCAGAAGAGTCTATGCATTAAAAGGGCAAGGATGACAAAACCTAAAATATTAAAATATTTTTAGGTTTTTATATGATTTTTTTATTATTGAATTAAAAACATTTATATTGCAATTAAATTGTTTGTGTAATATGTATTTCAAAACGTTGACTTGAAGTATTAAATAATAAAATAATGACAAACTCAGTGACAGTGGATTTTTATATGACAATATTGCTCTGCACAACATTGTAATCATAAATGCAATGGAATAAATTAAACAAATTTAATTTATAAGTAGTGTTATTGTGCCAGTTATTATTATAAATTAAGCGGAAAGTTACACTTTTTGAGTAATGGAACAAATACTTATTTTAAAATAATAACTGCTTATTTAGATCTATTTAAAAATCGGATGTCAACCCTATCGTGACATGTGCTACCTCTATGTAATTACAAATTAACTTATCAAATTATTGATTCGGGCTACACTTTCTTTTGTTGGTTTTGGTTATTGTTAGATCGATAAGTCTACGAGTGAAGAATAAAAAGTCAATAAAAACATATTAGCCGAACTCATTAGGTCTGTTAATGCGTATTGAGCGATACAAATAAATATTTTTTTCAATTATTACTTACTGAGGAATGAACGAGTTCTACCTAAATAATTTATTTCTCCATGATCTATCATTTAAATATTTTATGAAATAAGGATAGATATTAAAGTTGTAGTCAGCTAAATATCATTTCACTAAATGACTCAAACAAATTTAATCTACAGAAGCCATTACAGACAACTTTATACTTATGTGGCACCATTTCAGAAAAAAAAGATCCTTAATCGTATTTATAACTTTTTGCTCAAATAAATATAAAACATTTCTTTGTTTCTATGGGATTAGAAAATAATTAATATACAGGTACAAATTTTAGGTTAGTAAACATTTTGTAAATGTCCGCTTTCTTCCTTATTTTATTATGCGATCTAATGACATCATTTCTCGTAATTATCTTTCTACTAAGAAACTATATATTACTTTTCTTGTATTAAAAGAAAATTTACTTTTATGAAGAACGAATTAAATTCCTTTTACTTATTTGTACACGAGATCAATAAGAGACACTCCAAGTAAAATAATTCATTTCTGACCCACTAATTAGAAGTGATGTCGGACATGTTGCTCCAATGCGTGAGTTGAAGCACTAGTAGTTAATAATTGAAATTTCTTAATTAAATATCCTCACCTATGACTTTTAGTTTTTTGAGGGCTAATTATTAAACAAAGTTTTTTGTATTTTTACAATTTTTAAACTCATAATCTTGCTGTTCAAAAAACGCCTTGATTTTAGATTTGTTGTGGTTTCAAAACGTTTTAATTTAAAACAGAAGATGAAGGTAAAAGTGAGGAAGATATTAAGTTTCTTTATGACAATAGTGTCAAGCTCGTTACACACAAAATGGCTATGTTATACAGCAGATAAAATTTTATTGCGTACCGGCAGGTTGAGTAACTGTTTGCTAATGTCTATTGTCTATTATTCAGTTATCTATACAGAGTATTGTACCTACAACTGTGTTAATAAGTAATAATAGAACAAGAGAGGTATACACAACTTGCTCACATCTATCACTGTAGATGGTTTTGTGGTAACATTGAGCGTAGTGGTCTTTTCGCAATAAATGTTTTATAATCTATTACCTGTAGGTTCAGAGTGAATGGCTTGCTTATGAGCTTTATGCGAGCCTTATCCTTAATTCATGAAGACACGCGTTCTGCGTAGTTGTAACAAATCTTGTATTTCTTGACCTAGATTCCAGATGTTTCAAAATTTTTCTGTCATATATGGTAAAACCTATAATCAATTTGTACGAAGAAGTGTCAACAAACACGCCTGTTAGTTAAACAGTAGGGTGTGCATCATAAATCACCTAGCACCGTTCATGAACGGTTAGTTGACTTCGATTTTATAAAGTACTTTTTTTGCCACCTACCGTTTCAAAGCTACTCTTGGGAACGACGAAAGAATATTCACAGACTTGTTTGACACACTTTGTTGTGCGATTACACTATCGACGTTTTCATTATAAATTCCAGGGAATGCTTATACAAAACTTCAAGCTTTCTATGAACCTTATTTGCTTTCAAAATTCTACTTTTCTAAACAAAAAATATTATTAAATCAATCTCAACTCTATATCTTATGAAGAATTAAATAGCAAATTACATTTTCCCCGCGCATCCACCATTTTTAAAATTAATAGCAACTGTAATGCTCTAAAATTCAGGTTTCCATTGGCGTAGCGTTTTAAGCAACTTTAACTTTTAATTTCATTTAAAGTTAAACTCTAAATATATAAAAACAAATGTTAATTTTTTGATAAAATAGTTAGTGTGAGTTGTGACGTTCTGTATAAATTTTCTTTAAAGCGGAATTCTTACCACTTTCAGTCGAGAGCACTTGTAGCCGTGTTTTATTACATAATGGAAATTTAATGTTTAATGCCCTGACACAAATTGATAAAATTAATTTCTTTTTGCGTCATCATTCAGCATTAAAGGATCTCTTCGTTTTGTGTAACTTAATTTCAATACGTGTTGCTAATTAAATTTTTTGAGTTAAGTTTAAGAGAAGGGATGTAAATGGCAGGCACTTTCCTTGTTTACATAACATCGTTACTTTACACCCTCCAACATACAATGCATGCAGTAAAATAGATATTCTTGTCAAGTTTGGAATATAAACGAATATAAAGTCGCTGTTACAGACACGTTAATTTTTAAAAGTCATCACACTTAATATGTACAATAATAATATACTAAATAAAATTTTATTTTGTACAAATTGGAGCGTGATATTGGTTGCTTATATCCTGGGTGCACTTTATTTAATTTACTTTTTTAAAAGAAGTATTTAATTAAAATGTTTTATTAAAGGTAAATAAACTTTTTCTCTAGTTCCAACAAAATCCTTTGCGCTCTACTTTATTCAAGACCTATTTTTAAATTTGATAATATGACAATGTTTGCATATATTTGTTTGGCAGTATTTTTTTTTGTATTATATAAATATTTTTTGTAAAAAAATACACATGTCGATCAAAGTTTGCCCGGCGCATTCACCATTTTTGTTGCCGTTGAAATTTTGAAAATATCAAATTTTATTGATGATCATGTTGTTTTTGCCGTCGATTGATACATAGAAATATGAGTTTGCCAAAGTGTGTTGTAAATCAAAACCTTAAAAATATTTTGGTCTCTTAAATGGAGGTGATTTCCTAACCAAAACTTTTGGCTTGAAACAAACATGTGTCTGCTTGTAATTTCTAAACATTGAATCAAAATTCAGAGTAATTTTGAAATAATTGAATGGATTAAGCAACGGTGAGCTTTTTATCTGTCTTTAAAATTTTATATTTCATCGAAAATTGCGGTTTGGAAATCACCAAACATGTAAACATTTTTAAAGCTTTTTAATCGTCCCACTTAAATAATGTAATACCTGTAAAATGGGAATCTGGATTTAGAGGTCTTTTTATTTCACTATGAATGACATGTAAATTGTACGAAATTCGATTTCTACTGGCAAACGGCCAAATGTCTGTTTTCCTTCAGCAAAATGCATAACGAATTGTTTTGTGGTTTTTAGTCAACTCCGACTTTGTGTTACAAAGATTAACTCTGATAAATACGATAGGGTAGTTTCGTATTTGTCTACTGTTTTATATACTTTGAAAAATTAGAATACATTTATTTAGATTTCTGTGTGTAACACAAAAAGTATGCTTATTTTGCATACTAAGTAGAAATTTTTTATTGGAATGTCTGCTGTACAAGTTAATTATTTTATTTAAACTCAAAAGTATGTAAGTGTATAAAACCAACTTGATAAAGATCTAGAGAGCTTTAAAAAATTTGTAAATGTAATTTATTAAAATAGTTGAAACTCTTTAAAGCTAAGTATTTCTGTTTTGGTCTAACTCCATTTTGCATTTATGGATTATATTTAATTTGGTTTTGCTGAGAGGAGTGTACAAATTTATTTGAAAGTGAAGTTCTAATCACTCCAAAAGTTTCGTGAGTAATAATGGGCAGAACATTGAGAAAATTACAACTGACGCAAGAATTCCGTTAAAATGTTTTGTTATGAAAGGGCTTGCACTATTTCATTTGGATATGTGTTTGCAAAGCATGCCCGAGTGCACGTTGTGAATAATTAAGTTAAAAGTTGTGTTTTCCAGTTAATGGTTTGTTGTTTGATATCAAGCCCTTGAATTGAATTCACAAATCGTAAAGGACACTCGAATTCAGTTAAGGTTTAAAAAGTTGGCAGTGAACGGAAATCTCAAAATTTAAGTTTACATTATTCTACAGCAAGGGACAACGGAGTTGCTTGCGGAAAATATGATCGGTGTTCAGGTTGGATGGCGTCAGGCGTCAGGCGTCAGGCGTCAGGAAGAAGCGCTAAGGGCTGTCGAGCATAAAACTTCTCCTAGTTACCTTGACGGGGTCGTAGGAAGTGACGTAGACGGAGGTCCGACGGCCGATCAGAGAGCGACAGCCGATGGAACTACTTCGACGACCGGCCATCCTCACGGGGAGCTCACGCTCCTGGCTGGTCGAGCCATGCACTTGTACGGCGGCTTCCACGGCCGACGCCCACGTCACGACTGACTGAATACTACGGCGACGCGCAAGCCCAACATCGATTATATCATCAACACGTGCTATTTCTTCACTCGCAAACTCGTCACCTTACAGTAATTCATTACTATCAAATCAAACCCTCTGAAATTCATCTTACGAGTATGATCTCTTATACTACAGCAAACGGCTCACATTTATACCATGAATATCTTCCTTTTATTAAAAAAGGGTTCAAGCAGTTTAAAAATTATTTTATTCGCAACCGTATATGTAATATTGACATTTCTAACCTTGACGATAGTTGGAAAGTGTCACATTACTGACCTTTTATTACCTACTTTCATTACCTACCTCTATTACTACCCTTGTTTTCTAGTCCCACTTTTGTCACAATTAAATGAGGACTCGCAACTGCGTGCAGTACTTCTAGCGGTGTACACTCCATTCACTCTTCGTCTAAACAACACCGCATGGTATTGTTTGTAACTGAACTTATTTATTTACATTTTGATATAGTTTTGGGATATTGTGTTAGAAGTAAAAAACTGGTAATTCTCAATTTCGTTTATGTATTTGTATTTAGTCCGGTAAATCCAAGATTTGCTCATGAAGCAAGTTTTTACCTACATAAATAACAGTATAGTAAAATAATGTATAACAACAGAGTGCGTTCTTGGTACGAGGTGCTTTGTTGTGGCGTCAATATCCAGAAGTGGACTAGTGGAGCAAAGAGAACGAAGCTTGACACTCAAATTTTGCCTTATCAAGATTTGGCTTTTGACTAGTTCATTTGAACATTTGATCATTTTCTAATTTTTTACTACATTTAACAATTTTTTTCAAAATGTTGCAAATTGGTTATTTTTTAAATAGTGATTACCGCGTTAAATAACGCAACATGCAGTTTTTTTAATAAAACGCACTACATACTCAATTAATGAATTAATGGAATCGTAACATGTTCCGGATATTATAAATAAAACAATATGTTGTGTATAAATTTTATTGTTCGTTCATCCGACGAGTACAAGATCTAATGCCGAACTGGCCTCTCGACACATCAGTTGTGTAAGAAGTTGTACGAATCATCATTGACAAAAATATATCGGCTTAAATGACTAATTGCTGCCAAGATACTGTGATGAACTCGGTATTTATAAATTTTATTTTATTAACCATTCATCCCAAATTACAAAAATTTTAAAATTTGTTTTAACGGCGTCCAAATTGTTTCGGTCTAACTAAGAAATTTATCTTATCTTAAATACACACGTGTTTTGTGAATATTGAAATGTTTAGAAAAGTGTCGTTCTCACGAAATGTTTCCAAGAATTCCTTAAGTGTAACAAATCGCTAAAATTAAATGGTTTTCAAAAGCCATGTGTTCGAGTATCACTTGCTAAGAGATGGCGACCACTGCACACAGATTCCAGCCGCTCAGCAAAATAATGCATTGCACACGAAAAGATAAATAATTAAATTGTTGTTTAAAACAGGCYGAAATAGTAGTAGAACAGTAAATAAATTAATACATTTTGTTGGGGAAATAACCACTTTGGGATCTGAAAGGACAGTTACTTAAATTAGCCAAAATTTACAATTTTATGATAATTAATCCACCCTGAGTTCGGCATAAACTGCATTCACGTTGATTTATCACAATATTTTTACATTTAAACTTTGGAGATTTATTCATTATATGGAATCCATATAGTAACAATTTGTTAATTAGTTTAAATTCTTTTAAATAAATAAAATTGTTTAAAATTTTCTCAAACGAATTGGTCGATTGGAATAGTTGTCTGAAATTTAGATGTTAAAACCCAAGCGTTGCCGGTCAAGTGCTTATGCGTTGAAAATTACGCCCAAAACCAAGTCTATTCGAAGAATATCAAATTTCACATTTGCACGTGTGGGTCAAAAGAATTTTAGCGAAATTATCACATTCTTGTTTAAACAAAGTCAGGTCACAAAGCCATTATTTTAGAAAGACGCGCAGGATTTTTCTGAACATTTTGATATAAAATTTAACCCTAATTTAAGTTGCGGCAATCGTAATTTTGATGTATAAATTATTTATTTAATTAAATCATTGTAAGCAAATCTGGCACGGTACGATTGCTAGCCCTTTACTAACGTAGAGATTAGAAGGAAAGTAGGTGGAGATTTCCTAAGGAAATCCGTGGAAAATGCGAAAATGTTAAAATAGTACCGCTGTAGTACTGGGGGCGACATCTAACAGGGGGTAGTACGACGAAAATTACAGTTTTCTTACGGCTTTCTTCCTTTTACTTTCCGTAAAAATTTAAACAAACAAAATTTGTTGTTGCATTGCTAAACCACATAAAGTTCCATGAGCGTCAGAAAAACAATAACAACCAATTTTYGAGTTTAATATCTCTTTCAGGCAAATTGGTGTTGATTCGATATTGTTACTGTATTGTATAATATTATCAGAAGGGCTTAACAAATTGTATGTTTAATAATTGCGAAATCSCGAATCAAGGAAACACCATAGCAATTAGATAATAATAATTTGGTGAGAGTTAAACGAGGTRTGATCAAATGCCTAGACATTTTAAGAGTCAAATTTGCATAATGTCACATATGTGGAAACAAAGAACAGGGGTAGGGGGTAAGCGAGTTAGCGTCCCCTATTTAAAGTTAACACTTGTTTTTCGAAGGGAATTCGATTTTTGACTGTCTTCCGAGTTAGTCGATTTTCGTGCCGCTGCTTTCGCAAATTATTTAAATTTTATAAATTCAAACAATTCCGATTTAAATTAACTTTCGTTGATTTAAGAGCTTCCAGTTGAGCTAGTGAATTAAATGAATTAATTTAGTGCTAGAAATAGTGAAATAAATAGTGTAAATAGTTTGGTTATAATTGTTCGCTTTAGTGATAGTTATTATTAAGTGTTGTTAAACCAAACGACAAAGTGCCAGTTTAACTTCGGATATCGGCGAGCCATCAGGAGGATTAAACTTTCTAGGTAGGCCCACGAAAGGGTTATATATTATTTTAACTAATTCTTTATGCAAAAATTTCATTAAGTTTCTTCAAGTAATTTTATAAATTAAATTAACGTTATCTATCATTTACCGTGACCACAAATTTATTAAAGAATTTTAAATTCAAAACTTTAAAATATAAATTTAAATATTTGTTTATTTTCTTCTTTTGTTCTTGAAAATAAAGCGTTAATACTTGCTAAAATTAAAGCCAAATAATTTCATTTCTTGTAAGGAATTGCAACAATACTTATTTTGCCGTATTACTTAATTTTRAATTTATTTATTTATTCATTTTMTTGATTTGAGTGTAATCCTCAACCCTAAACTATTAAAACTTAACACATCAATCATTAACCTAAATCAAAGGGTCTCCAGCGATTTCTTTGCCTCAAATCAATTTAAAATTTRTTCATACAAGATTTTGAAGGTAGAATAACTTGTTGCATATTAAATATAGGGTAGAGTAGGACAAATTTCTCTCTCGCGTCGTGCTAGGCGATGAGAGCAAAAGTATTTGTCTTTTGCGCAATGGCACCTGAAATTATAGACTCGTTTGTCGGCCATCTTCATGGGAAGAGTCGTGGTCCCCGGGGACCCTCTTCCCCAACTTWACAAGGTCTAAGCCACTGTGTCAGGTCGTAGTTTCCGGCAGTCGGACTTAGAATGGGCGTTGTAATTCCCGCTCCWACGGCATATACCATGTATATGCAGGCTACTACGAGATAAACGAGACAAAATAACCATCCAGGTTATCTATAATCAACTGGTATCGCGAAATGACAAAGTTCTGAACAAGTCTTTGTCAAAGCTCGTGGACGAAACARTTGTGAGAGAAATGACTTCTACATTCATTCAGTRATGTTGCAAGGACTTGTATATCCTGGTTTTGTTCGGAAATTATTATAGGTGTTTAGGCACCTGACTTTTACCTGAGGCGGTATTTCGGCACTAGGGCGTAATAGTAAAAAAAAAAGGGCGATGCACTTATAAAGGCCGCGAGCATGTTATATTCCGACTCTGGTACAAGTGTAACTTAATAAACGCGGTTAAACTCTTTCCTCGATAATATAAGTTCGAACAATATTAACTGAAGTATAGGGTAGCTTTGTAGTACGTAAATAGAGTTCCAATCATCCATCAGCTGTTTGAATTCATTATTTTAAATCCCGAAGCAATTGTGGTTACGTGACTTACAAACTAAATTAAATAAGAATGAACAATAATTTTTAACACCTGGCAAAATTGGATCAAACTCTCACAACTCTTTCTTTCTGTAAGAAATGCTTTGACAGTTGTAAATAAATTACTTTTGTGGAAACTTGACTTTTAATCCCTTCTCCCACGCGTTTTGACACTACTTTGAATCCGAATTTGTGTTACGACACAGAGATAAACACAACGTAGGTAAGTGAAAATAATTATAAGGTTTACTAGACGAGCCAGATAAGCTGAAATCAAAATAAAGGGGTAAAAGACGAATTAAAAATTTAATCTTCATCAAATAGCAACAATATCACTATCACGGTCTCACTACAGACATATATTATATTAAAAATTTTGGTGCCATGACCAGGATTCAAAGTCATAAAGTGTCATTTCCGAGGAGAAAATTAGTCAAAAAAAAGATACTGCTGTGTTATTAAACTTTCTAGGACTCCAATATTTACTCGGTTCGATACCCGAAATTGAAGGTTGTCGACATGGAAAGCAACAACGTTAACCCAGGAAACGCAGGAGCGTTATCGGAGGAAATGCCAGTGTGGTTTATCCGCTGGTTAAACGCGCAACAACCAACATTTTCAATGCCGCCGCCGCCACCATCGGCCCAACAACAACTTGCTGTTGCACCGGCATTGCCGAGTACCAGCGCCGCCACCAACAACGAAGGATGGCAAATAACAACAATGCCTGACATTTTCGAGATCGGATTCTCTCGCAAGTCCAACCCTTCAGGAACCGGAGTCTTCTACGTCGTCAACAAAAACGGA